AATTTCCTTGAAATGAGTGAAATGAGATGGAGTCACTGCAGCCCCTGAGTGTCCCATAAAGCTCAGAGAATTCCCTSGAAATGGGATGGAGCCCCTGAGTGTCCCATAAATCTGAGCTGCTCTCACAAGATGCTTTCCCTTCTCGTTCTTTGGCCACCGAAGTAATTTTAGACTAAAAAGAACAAATATCTGGGAAGGTGGAAGCGTTTGGAAAGCATCAAATGATATTTCTGAGCCTCATTTCCAAAGGAAAAGGATTGAACTCCTTTTCCAGGTTTAAAGTTGAGCTTCACCAGGACCATTCCCAGTGGGTGTGGTACCAAATCTCTGATTTTGTGCCAGTTTTTTGGGTGCTCAGGTGTCTTTTTATCAGCACGTGGCTTCAGGGAGTGATCTCGAGTCACAGATTTATTTAAAAATAAAATTTAAAATAAATATTAGAAGAAACACTATAATGTAACAAAATATACAAATATAACAGAAATTATAATATTTAAATAAATATTAGAGCAAACTCTTCAAATTTCCATTTGCATTTTTCCAAATGTTTTTACGTATTTTATAGAGGGTTTTGGATCAGCTTAGGGTGAATTTCCATTTAAGTTTCCAAATGTTTTTACATTTTTTACAGAGGGGTTTGGGTCAGCTTTGGGTTTGTTTTTTTTTTTAATAGAGGGGTTTGGATCAGCTTTGGGTTTTTTTTACGGAGGAGTTTGGGTCAGTTTTGACTTGTTTTTTTGTTTGTTTTATAGAAGGGTTTGGGTCAGCTTTGGTTTGGTTTTGTTCTTTATAAAGGAGTTTGGGTCAGCTTTGCATTTTGTTTTTTTATAGAGAGGTTTGGGTCAGCTTTCGGTTGTTTTTGAAGAGGTTTTTTGGTCAGCTTTGGGTTTTTTGTTTCTTGTTTTTTTATAGAGGGGTTTGGGTTAGTTTTGGGGTTGGTTTTTTGGTTTTTTTAGAGGCGTTTGGGTTGGTTTTTGTTTGTTGTTTTTTATTTGTTTAAGAGATCTTTTGGTCAGCTTTGGGTTTTTTGTTTTTTTTTGTTTGGTTTTTTTTTTGTATAGAGGGGTTTGGGTCAGTTTTGGGTTTTTTTTTGTTTTTTAGAGGCGTTTGGGTCAGCTTTTGTTTGTTGCTTTTTATTTGTTTAAGAGATCTTTGGGTGAGCTTTGGCGTTGTTTTTATCCTCCTTTCCCTAAAGATTAAATTTTCATCATTCAATATTATTTTTTTCCAACAGGTATCAGCAGCCTGGCTGCTTCCTACCTGAATCCTGTCAAGTCCTTTGTGCCTCAGATGCCAAAGCTGCTCAAATCCCTGTTCCCTGTCCGAGATGAGAAAAAGGGCAGGCAGAGCTCTCCCCTGGCCCAGCAGGTAAAGCTTAAAACCCCAGAAAATCCAATATTGGGGTGGCTCAGTGCTGCTTTTCAAGTTATTGCAGAGAAAACCAAAATYTAAACCCAACAAAACCTCGGGATTCATTTTCCCTCCATCCCATCAGAGCAGAGGAGCTGTTGGATATTTTGGGATACAAACTCAGCCCATTGGGATTTTGGCAGGTGCCAGCTCCACTCCCAACGTAATTTATGGGTTTCCCATTTTGCTGAAACAATGGGGAAATTCATGGAGGGCATTCAGTGGTGTTTGTGTGTTGCCAGGAGGAAAATAAAATTCTATTTTTAATTCTTTGTCACCTTTCACCATCTTCTGCACCTGGGGCCATGAGTTTTGTTCATTGTTACCTATTCCAAGTGCCAGGGAAATATTTTATTTCCTTTTATTTCCCTTTTAGATCTTGTGCCACAAAGCTCCACCTTTGATCCAATCCAATCTCTGTTTCTGCATCATTAAAATGGAGATCAGTTCTTATCAACCTTTATAAAATTCGCTTTTGCTGTTATTTTAGCAACTTCTTATCAACCTCACACTGATGTGGCTTCTGTGCTCTGGGCAGAAGTTGATGCCTGGTCAAGCTGACTGAAAAAAAACACTTCTCTCTTTTAAAAAAACACCAGCTGAAGTAGAAAATCCCAGGATAAATTTTATCATCTTCCTAATTTGTGAGGCTGTAGCTCATTTATAAAGGAATATTTCTCTGTAGAAGAGAAACTTCTCTGAAAATGCTGTGAAGGTGAATCTGGAGCCAGACCTMATGTGGAAGTTTTGGGATTCCATTCTGTCATCCTCTTCCCTTGCCTGGAGCTCTGGAATCTCATCTCTTGTTAATTTAGATTTTTTTCCTCACCTCTTGCTGTGCAGACAAATATTTTTCAGAATATCTTCCTCAAAACAAAGCAAAATAAAACCTGAAACTCCAAAAAACCACCATTTTTTCATGGCTGGATCCAAGTATTCTGTTCTGCTGTTCTTTGCCAAACATTTTACAGAATATCTTCCTCAAAACAAATTAAAACAAACCCTGAAATTCCAAAAAAAATCATTTTTTGATGGCTGGATTCAGGTATTCTCTTCTGTCCTTTGCCAAACATTTTACAGAATATCTTCCTCAAAACAAAGCAAAAAAACCCCTGAAATTAAAAAAAAAACCTCATTTTTTTTGTGGCTGGATCCAGGTATTCTGTTCTGTTCTTTGCCACAACTAAACTTGTTACAGAAACATCATGGGACTCCAGGAATTTGTTTTGGCATGATAGAAATCCAGTAAAATATTAAATAAATACAAAAATAAATAAATACGATAATAATAAAAAAAAAAAGAAAATAATAATAAAAAAGTTATTTATAAATAATAATTAAATAATAAATCCACCAGCACTTAAAAATACTTTTTAAAGTAACTTCTCACATATCTAGCACAAGGAAGAATAAGATTTAAAATATTTTGAGCTTGGCTGGGGATTCATTTTACCTTTTCACGTTGCCTTTTTCTCTGTGTTGAGGCTGNCAGGTATTCTGTTCTGTTCTTTGCCACAACTAAACTTGTTACAGAAACATCATGGGACTCCAGGAATTTGTTTTGGCATGATAGAAATCCAGTAAAATATTAAATAAATACAAAAATAAATAAATACGATAATAATAAAAAAAAAAAGAAAATAATAATAAAAAAGTTATTTATAAATAATAATTAAATAATAAATCCACCAGCACTTAAAAATACTTTTTAAAGTAACTTCTCACATATCTAGCACAAGGAAGAATAAGATTTAAAATATTTTGAGCTTGGTTGGGGATTCATTTTATATTTTCACGTTGCCTTTTTCTCTGTGTTGAGGCTGGAATTGTTCAAACCTACTGGGCTATGAACTGTAGAGAATTCAAATGAAGGTGGTGGCTTTCTTTAAAGATATTTGGGGATGGAAAGATGCAAATAGRGGCTCTTAGAATTGCAGTGAGAGCCTTTGACACCTTCTTGAGTCCTCCCTGAATCAGTGAGAGCTGAGAAAAGCATTTCCTGCCTCTACTTTAACCACCTGTTCCCACTCCTTCCCTGTTCAAGATCAGYCGTGGATGATTTGTCTGGAAATCAGGTTTTATCCTACAGAGACACCTCTTTAATGAGATTTGAGTTGAGGTTATGGATTACTATGGAAAGGCAACCAGGTCGTGATTTCAACTGTTTTTAATAGGAGGGGAAATGCTATTAATGTTTGGGAATTTTTTTTATTTTAAATAAGAGGAGTGTGTGATGCTTTAATTCTTGGTTGTACTGGAGAGCAGCCCAGGCTTTCCCAATCCACTGGATCTGTGTAATCCAATGAAATGTGGGAATTTTTCTCTGCTTTTGGGTTTTGTAATCCAATGAAATGTGGGAATTTTTCTCTGCTTTTGCGTTTTTTAATCCAATGAAATGTGGAAATTTTTCTCTGTTTTTGGGTTTTGTAATCCAATGAAATGTGGGCATTTTTCTCCGTTTTTGGTTTTTTTAATCCAATGAAATGTGGGAATTTTTCTCTGGTTTTGGGTTTTTTAATCCAACGAAATGTGGGAATTTTTCTCTGCTTTTGAGTTTTGTAATCCAGTGAAATGTGGGAATTTTTCTCTTCTTTTGGCTTTTGTAATCCAATGAAATGTGGGAATTATTCTCTGCTTTTTGGGTTTTTTAATACAGTGAAATGTGGGAATTTTTCTCTGCTTTTGGGTTTTTTAATGAAATGTGGGAATTTTTCTCTGCTTTTGGGCTTTTTAATCCAGTGAAATGTGGGAATTTTTCTCTGCTTTTGGGTTTCTAATCCAGTGAAATGTGGGAATTTTTCTCTGCTTTTGCGTTTTTTAATCCAGTGAAATGTGGGAATTATTCTCTGTTTTTGGGTTTTTTAATCCAGTGAAATGTGGGAATTTTTCTCTTCTTTTGGCTTTTGTAATCCAATGAAATGTGGGAATTTTTCTCTGTTTTTGGTTTTTTAATCCAATGAAATGTGGGAATTTTTCTCTGCTTTTGGCTTTTTTAATCTAGTGAAATGTGGGAATTTTTCTCTGTTTTTGGGTTTTGTAATCCAGTGAAATGTGGGAATTTTTCTGTTTTTGGTTTTTTTAATCCAATGAAATGTGGGAATTTTTCTCTGCTTTTGGGTTTTGTAATCCGATGAAATGTGGGAATTTTTCTGTTTTTGGTTTTTTTAATCCAGTGAAATGTGGGAATTTTTCTCTGCTTTGGGTTTTGCAGTGGAGCCAAGAGTTTTGTGGCAAATACACCCCCCTGGTTTGAGAGGTGTCACCTATTCCTTGCAGCTCCATCTGTGGGAAATGGGGCTTTTTCTGTGCTGTTAGAAATCCCAGGGAACTCTGGAATATCCTGAGTTGGAAGGGACTCACCAGGATCACTGATCCACCCCCTGACTCTGCACAGACCCCCCAAAAATCCCACCCTGGGAGCGCTGCCAAACCCTCCTGGAGCTCTTTTGGGAACGTCNCATTCCCTGGGAGCTGTTCCAGTGCCCCACAACCCTCTGGGGGAAGAATTCCTAATCCCAATCTCAGAAAAAGTGCACAGAAAAGAGCAAAACCCACAGGAATGACCCCAGAATTGGCTCCAACTTCTTCYGTGCAGCACAAAAAAACAAAAAGGTGATTTTGCTGCAGGGTTGGCTTGAGGATCATAAACATTCCATCCCATCCCATAATGTCCCGTGCTCCTGCTTTCTGATGGCTTGAGGGTGTAAATGAGGGCAGAAGAGCTGAGCTGGAGGCTGGGGGAACAAAAATCCCRTGCACAGAGGCAGGGGATGGAAATGAAAGTGTAAGGTGGGAGCGGTGGATGGCAAATGACAAAATTTTAAAGGGTAAAATTTTTTTAAAAAGGGTAAAAGAGGCAAAGCCAAAAGGACTTTTTGGTTTTAATTGCAAAAGATTCTGATCCTTAACTGGGAACTGCTGGAATTTTGTTGCTGATAACAACAATTTGGGAGGGCAGGGTTTGGGAATGGAAATGACAAAGTGAAGGGGAGGATCTGAATTGTACTTTTGTGGCTGAAAGCTGAGATGTGGGGAGGTTCAGGGGGGATTTTAGGGAAAGGTTTTGCCCCCAGAGGGTGGTGGAGCATTGGAACATCTCCCCAGGGAATGGGGACATTCCCAGAGCTCCAGGAACATTGGGACAGCACTCCCAGGGGTGCACAGGGTGGGATTTTGGGGGGTCTGTGCAGGGTCAGGGGTTGGATCAATGATCCTGGTGGTTCCTTCCAGCTCAGGATATTCCATAAAAACTAAATGAGCTGGTTTGTAACAGCAGCTTTTTGAACATAAATCCCAAGAAAAGCCAAGTGGATCCATTTAAGGTGAGGGAGAATGTCCAAGTTCTTGTCAGGCTCCTCTTTTTTGTGCTTTATTTGAGCACAAATTTTATATTGTGTTTTATTTTTTGTGAATTATTTGAGAATAATTAATTATCTAATGTCATTCAAACCTGTTCTGGAAAAGTGCTGGGGAACCATCTCAAACCACCTGACACAGCCACTGTCCAATTCCCAGTAAATTCCAGTTAAATTAGGAATTTTAGTGGCTGGAGAGCTCTG